GGGGGGGGGGGGGATGTGAAACGTGGAGAGGTATGTATAGAAATTGCGTACCTGCAAGGTCCTTCCTCAATAATTCTAGAAACTTGAATTCACGCGCCATTCTACGAAAAATCCGAGCAAGTTTTCGCAACAGTCTTTCAAATTGTGTACTTTTTCTTGAAGGTATCTGTAGTTTTTCTGTGCGGTAAAAATCCGGAGTGAAAAAATTGAGTAAGAAACATGTGCGAAGTGCTTGGAATTGCACCCTGTTTGTGATCAATGTTGAAAATATTTTGATGTGAGTACTAAGCGAAGCGGCTGACGGCTCAGACTTGTTATTCGGACTACATTTCGCAAACGGAAACTATTCCTGGTTAACCAACGGCGCATACGTAGTTTTCATAAAGAGCTAGAAATCGTAGTTGCTTTTATTGCAAAATGTACTCCATTTGCCACAAAGAGCGAGAATGTAGCTTTAGCTCCAGCGTGATCCGTGCGTTTGACAATTGGACGTATTGGACGTTTCTGCCAAACGGAACTGTGTGCATTAAGACATGAGCCCTGAGACCCATAAGAATATATGCATAACAGGGCTCACGTCGCAATGCACATAATTCCGTTTGGCAGAAATGCGTCCAATTAATTAGTCTGCTTTACACTGACCACGTGTGGCAGCGGCGGCCCACAGTGAATCGAGTCAATCAGAGACGTCGCACATGAACTTCTTTCCTAAAACTGCAAATTTTTATGTTTATTTCGTTATATTTTAAATTTTAAGGAATGCTTCTGAAAGAAGATTTCACGAGAAAACCGATAAAACCACTTTCAGAACCTCAAACTTTGCAAAAACGGAATTATGAACGTTGAAAGTTTTCAAATTTTGTCCGACCTCTCCTATTGACTCGATACACTGTGCGGTGCCTGTCATTCCTTCAACTTCAGACATCGCAACTTGGGCCGAGGACCTGACGCTAAGCCTCTTAGGTTTAAAGCCATCACTCATCTTTAACTGGACGCGTCACTCTTTGGCACAGTGCTCCAATTTGACTGGCGCACTTGCAACTTGCACTCGATGCGTCCATTCAAATAAGCGCACCTCCCATCGACTCCGAGGAATCTGTATTCCTCCAGAAGGAGAGAACGATCGTTCACGCATTCGTTTTTGATGGCTCAGCTAGAGTCCCTTTATACTGAGAGTCAAGACAACACCCCCTCATGGAGTCACAAACGGGAATAAAGATTACGGAAATTGAACGTTTTTTGTAATCTTTGATCGGCCCGTTCTCAAATTCCTTTCTCCGTTCCTTCTCTCATTCCGTTTGTTCTTTGCCGAACCCGTAATTCCCTGGTCCATTCCAGATTATAATCTTTGCGATCGGTGAAAATGTAATCTTTATTCCCGTTTGTGACACTGTGAAGGCCTAAAATACGGGAACCAATCAGAAATGGATTCACATTGTCTTGACTCTTAGTATAAAGGGACTCCAGGCTCAGCCATCTTAAGGCGGGTTTCGGCTTCGGTGCGGCGCA